ATTACATATTCTTAAAGTAGAACATGCGTAGAACATTTCTGGATAAATTGCAATATATGGTATTTTATGAAAAAATGAGAAAAACATGGTCAAGTTCGAAGAAAATAACAGTTTTCCGATTTTGCAGGAATTGTGCCTGGCGCAATTTTAGAGTCCAACTTTGTCAAAACGTACGTTTTGATTAATAAATGTCAAAGGGGACATTTCCTACATGTTTGAATCAAACTACAACCGTGAGTCCAAGTCAAAAAGAGGTTGTTAGGTGAATCTCAACCTATTTCCACCTAAAAAGATAGGAAGTTTAACTAACTCAAGGGCCTATAAAAGGGAGTCTCTCCCTCAGCTTCAAATCATCCATTCCAAGCTCGTTTTCAGCTTCCTTTCATTTCTTCATAGTTGTAGAACTCATGCTTATGCTTTAGATTCAAGTTTTTTAGTTGTTATTTCCTTGTATTTTCATACTTCTGCCTACCGTATTGCCTTTAATTCAAGTTCTACCTTTTGTTCTTCATTTATTCTGTTCTTCTTAAGTTCTTTAGCGAGTTTACACTCTACTCACGCTCAAAAGAGAAGATGGTCAAGCTAGAACTCCTTGTACGACTTATTTATTCGTTTTAATTCAATGAAAAATACTTCATTTATGTTTTCGTACATTTTCTTTCCCTTAATTATGCACGAGATTAATTATCAACCTATTTGTGGAATGCCTTAGTCAAAATGATTTGATTTTTAACACGCTCGGGATTTTGTCCAGAATTGCGTCTGGCACTTTTTTGGGTTGGTTCTAAAAACTTCTCTTTCTGTTTTTTCTATTTGGCTAGTGGGAACTTGATTTATACACTAAAGCCCAACCCTGAGAATGGTGAGTTAGGTAAAATAATAGGAAACCAATATGGGATGTGACTTAGACATAAGTGCATAAAACATGGTCCTAGACATAGGCCCCCTGACCCATAATGCAAATGAGTTGATAAATATTCTCTAGGATTGTAATCACACATAGACATATGATTGTAGGTTACCTTAGCCTCTATAGCAACCAAAAGCGGTAGTGAAAGAGTAGAACTCAAAATCCCAAGAAAAGCCAGAATTGCACCTGGCACAATTTCCCAACAAAGTGTGTTTTCCATGTTTTGCATCAAAACGAAGGTAGGAAGCAAAGAGGTCGAGTTTTATTAAATTGTTTGATATTTAAAACTCCAGACAACAATATTTCATCACTATTTTCTTCATAAACCACAATTGCATGTTCAACCATTCACTTCTTTAAAACTTATTTGAAAAGCAACAAGTCCCTAAGGATTCGACCTTGGATTACTCCCAAGTATTACTTATGACCGTGTGCGCTTGCACAAGTCTTTAATCATTTTTAAAGGTAGAGAAAATCCCAACAATGCCCTAGAAATCCAGCCTTAGTATACTACTTGTGGAATCCACAGAACAATCGAAACAACCCCTATTCGAACACATTCAACCTAGGCTGGAGAAATCATCATAGCTTTAGTTGGGGTGGAAACCAAGGAGGGCACAATGCTGGAACTTCGAATGCCCCATTATACCAGCAGAAAGGAAATTACCCACCTGGATATTTGGGTCAAAGACAACCACTAGCCCATAACCAATCAGAAGGAACATTGAGTTCTTTGGAGAACTTCATTAAGGCTGATATGGTGAATAATGATGCAACTGTATAGAGCCAAGTTGCGTTATTACAAAGTCAGGCTACATCCTTACGCAACTTGGAAGTGCAAATAGGGCAATTGGCCACAAATTTGAAAAGTATATGTTGTGCTTCCTAGCAATGGGTAAATTATAGCGCAAGTATACACTAATTCTTGTCAATTGTAGTACAAACAAGGTCGTCTCCACAGGGAATTCATGAGTACAGAAAATGGTTAATTGATTCGAGCTACCAAAAGAAATAATAAAAGAAAACGAAGTTGGTTTATCAATTTTTGCTAGTAACTTGTCTCAAAGTAACATGTAAATAAAGCAGTGAATGGGAGGACAATTAAACTTTTCCAGACTACTTCCAACAAAGAATTGAACAAACAGCAAATTCCCTATCGGGGAATCGACTGCTCGGGGAGGTTTAAATCTATTTTTAGGGAATCGAGGAGAGGAAATTCACCTACTGATTTTAAGTGTCACCTACTGAAGAAAAACAAATGAAACTCTTAGAACCCAGACCCTCACGGCTCTCTTCCGAGTTACCTAGCAATTGTTCTAACCCAACTCCAGTCGTGGTTACAACAAACATGAAACCAATCTATAGGCACCGTAGAGTGAACCCCATTCCTAAGTATTCACTACTCTGTTTCAGAAAGAACACAGAAACTACGACTAACAACAGTGAATCCACGCACAGGAGCTTTCCCAAGCTTCCTATGAGCTTGCACACTAAACCTGCTGGCCAAACATGTTTAGAACGACGGAAAAATTAAACCCACTGCTATTAAATAAGAGTTCAAATGCATTCAACAATAGCTCAACGTCTATTACAGCAAGTTTCAACCCCTCCCCGAAGAAAGGAGAATTAGTTCATGATGAAATAGAAATAAAAGAATGCACAGATGAAAAAGGACTCCATTTCAGAAGGCAATAAGAGAAAACCCAGAAGCTTCCCCGGATGAACACTGAAGAGCTCGAGCCAAATCCGTATCTCTCTCTCACCTGTCGTCAATGGAGACCCCACGTCTTTTTTTTCTGTTTTCGAGAGTGTTTCCCTGAAAACGATGCCTCTAGTTAGGTCCACCATCATCTCCTTTGCGACTGGGGTGTCTCTTTCTTTTTGTACCCCACATTTTGCTTAGGGCACCAAAGAACCTCACGTGGATGCTGTCTAAACAATGTACGGACACTGTACAGATACAGTAACAGCGCGGGTGAAATCAAATTACTGTTCCGGCCTCTGCTCTATAGCTTCCAAAGCGCTAACCTGCTTCCGACTTCAACCAGTTGCCCTTAGTCTCCAGTAGCATCAATCTATTCCACTCATGCTTCACCTGCTTCGAATGCACCAAATTTTGCTTTCTGCACTAAACATCCACAATTTAGCATTTACTCCGAAATTTAATGAATCTACAAGAGTTTATACATCGAAGGTTCCTTATGAGATTTCTCACATTCTTGTGGCTTAATTAGTTTGTATTTCACATTCTTGGCACACAATTACCCTTAGCTTGGCCCATAATTCACTCTCTATTTGAGAGCTATCAGTATACCACATGGAGCATTATCAAGCGATACAGAGCGCCCAAAAGGGGATGGTAATGAGCAATGTAAGGCTCTTATCTTGAAAAGTTGTAAGGTATTCTCACCAGCCACTACTAGAATTTTGGGTTTTTGTGACGCTCATGAACAGTAAAATACTGTTAAAAATTATAAAAAAGAATGTCACAAAAGATAAAAAATACTTTTTTGGAGGTAAAAAATGGAGACTGTCGGATTTTTGACATTTCGTGACGTTTTTTAACCGCCATGAAAATTTTGGCAAAAAATTTGTTTTTAGTAACGTCACGAAAGGTTGAGGTGCGTTTTTGGAGGGAAATGACGGAGTGTTCCGAATTTTTTACTTTTCGTGACGTTTTTCTAATTGTCACAAAAAAGGCGAAAGTAAATACGTTTTTCTTGACTTTTAATAAACATTGCAAAATGTTGAGGCGCGTTTTTGGCGAGAAAGGACAGAGTTCTTCGGATTGCCAGCTTTTCGATGTGTAAAAAACGTCACAAAAAGTTATTTCTCATGACGTTTTTTACAAGTCACGAAATGGTAGGACCTTGTTTTCTGGCGGGAAAACCGGATATTTGGATTTTTCGTGACGTTTAAAATACATCACGAAAAGTTGAAAATTGAAAGTTATGGTGACACCTAAAACACGTCATGAAAAAGTGAGTTTTTTCGTGATGTTTGTTATACGACACGATAAGTGGGGAAACTATATTTTTACCGACGTTTACAAGAACGTCACGAAATGGTTGCTTTTTGTGATGTTTAAAAACCGCATGAAATGGTGGAGCGATATTTTTTATGAGAAAACATGACGACTAACGAATTTGTCGTCATTTGTGATATTTTTTAAACTTCATGAAATTTTGAGCCATGTTATTTAGCAAGAAAATGTGTCGAAAATTTGTGCTCACAATTTTTTTGTTAATTTATAACATTTTTAAATTGACAAAAAAATTGATGATTCAGTTTTTTAAATTGCAATTTTTTAAAATTTAAAATATCATCATCAATTGATGATTAAATTGACATTTTTTTTTAATTTATGACAGCAAAACCGAAGACCAAAAAGAGAAATCACTATCAAACGGACCCTTAAATTTATAGATTTTAGAAAATGGATTTAAGTCAAAATATTATTTAAATATTAACCCCAACCAATTTTAAATTTTACTTTTTTATTTTATATATATATATATATATATATATATATATATTTCAATATCAAAATTGTTCATAAATTTTTTTCTTCCATCCAAAAAGATTTAATTAATGATTACAATTTAAATACCAAGATTGCAATTTGTAATTGTAAATCTTGAAAAAAAAGAAAATACAATTTTTTTTTTGTTGAAATTTGTAAATGACAAAATATAAAGAAAAAAAACTAATTAACTTAAACATCTTTTAAGCTAATTTGTTGGAATATAATATTCTTTTTTTAGGGGTAGTAGAAATTCCTGCTAAGTAAATTTTGCACCCCATTAAAAATAAATATTATTTTGTAAAATTGATTTCATTCTAAAAAAAACATTTTAAAATGTCAATTTCCATTATTTTATATTATTTTTTCACCCTAAATCACCTTATCCCTTCCTCCTTTACCCTAAAATCTCTTAACCCACTTTTTCACTTTTCTTGCTAAGAGCCGCCGCCCATGCCTCTATTGTGAAGACCACATCAAGAGTAGCTAAAACCCTCCGCTGGTGAAGCCGTCCCTGCCTCTAGTGAACGTCGTCCCCGACACTGCTGAACGACGTCCCCGCCGCTACTAAACGTCGATCCCACCACTGGTGCTCCTGCTGGAGGAAAGCAGCAAAAACCCCATCACCTGCTTATCCACTCCCCTCCCTGCAAATCTGCAGCTCCATTTCTTCATTCCCATGTCCAATTAACAACAGCAGCTTGAGAGAACTTTTGTCTCTTCTTCTCTAATTCATCGGCTATAGAGACTTGAATTGCTTGTTGTGCTCGTAGGGCTTTCCTCTCCAATCTTTCTTCTCAGAATTCTACTGCTCTCATGTCTCCTTCCTTCGCCACGAGGTTATGTACAAACGAAACCCATTTCTCTCTTTCTCTGGATTTTGGAGATATATGGCTAGAGTTGACAATAGGTGTGTGATCAAATTGCATTTATAGAGTCTGAAAGCAAGCTCGCTATTTGGGGAGTCATTAAGGCAAGTTCCCAAGTCATCGATAAAGGTGGCATCAAGGCCAAAGAGTTCTCCCCCTAAAACCAGATGTGAGATTTGTGATAATCTGGTGAGTGCATCTGTGGTAATGCCTGCAAGGTGTTTGTGATATTGGTTGTTTGAATATTTGAGGAGTTTGTGATTGTAGGAGGTGTTTCTCACCAAAGCAACCACAGATAAGGGATTGATCAAAATGATGATGTGTATGGGAGAAGCTCTAAGGACCATTTCCTTCAAGGTTAGAACGGCTTCTTATGGAGGAACTGAGTGTGTCAACTCCTTTGGAGATGAACAACTTGTTGTCAATATGCTTGCCGTCAAGCTTCTGTTTGAGGTCAACCTTCCATTAGTCTCGAATGACGATTGTTTGAAGTAAAATTATTATTTTCAAACTTCGTTTTCTTTCTTCGCATCCATGGACGATATTTTTTTTAACTATGAAAGAAGTTTTGTAGATTAATGTTCAATCAACATAGATTTCCATATGTTACAGATGAAACTTGAACCAAATGAATACAAGAAAGACGACATCAACATGTTGAGAATGGAGTGGGCCGAGTTTATTGAGTCCTACTTAAATTTTGCATAAAATATGTGGAATTATCGTTTTGGGTTGACCATGAACTCATGTTGCATATAATATAATTTTTGCTTGCACAATGTTCGAGTTCATGGTTGATGTATTGGTGGCAGTACCTTTTGTTAGGCATGTTTTTTGGACTTTTGGCTACCTTATACTATCATGGTCATTTAAACTCACACCTGACGAACAGAATTGTGAGTTGTTAACTATATCCCTGTTTATTAATTTGAATGTATAGTAATTATAAACATTCGATTAATCTGAAAATTTAAATTTTCTGGTAGGATTATTTCATGAGACACATTACTTTGAAGTATCTATCTTGTCATAGAAGAAGTTCTTAATTGGGTTCATATTCACCGCATATAAAGTACTACATTATGTCAAATTTTGTTTGAACGTTATTGTTTTTGTCAAATTTTTTGAGAAATTTGCTCTTTGTAAATTGCTTATCATTGCATTATATAACAAAAGCAAGATTGACACTAGAAACGAGAAGTTGTCAGGTTTCTTTATTTTGTCAGACCGCATCATGATGAGCTTAAGCATGTTGTGGCCATTTCCATCTTAATTCCAATATAACAAAGATAAGCTATTAATTGGTGTCGTCATCATTCATACTGTAGCATTTAAATCTTAAATCAATCTGAATTGCCTTTGTTATATGCTGTAACGATAGCTAAATTACCACCCTTATCAGATTATTGAGTAAGTTCACAAGGAAGATTGAATATTGATTATTGATAGTGTCGTTAGAATATGATTGTACCTTTTCAATCCTTGTGATATACTACTAATTTGTGCTATAATGATTACTTATATTTTGTGCTATGTTACTGAAGGATGTAGAAGAAGTGTAGGGTTGTTTTGTTATTTTAATTGCTTCTGTTCTGTTGGGATCTTTGTTTGGGCATTTCGTTGGTTATTTTATCATATTATTGTGTAAGTTCACAAGAAATTTTTTAATACTAATTATTGATAGTGTCATTAGAAGATGATTGTACGTTTTCAAACCTTCTGATGTACTACTGGTTTGTGCTATATTGATTACTGATATTTTGTGCTATGTAATTAAAAGATGTAGAAGAAGTGTAGGCATGTTGTTTATTTTAATTGCTCATTTTCTGTTGGGATCTTTGTTTGGTCATTCTGTTGATTATTTTATCAGATTATTGAGTAAGTTCATAAGAAAGACTATGCATATTTATTATTTATAATGTCGTTAGAAGATGATTGTACGTTTTCAATCCTTCTGATTTACTACTAGTTTGGACAATATTGACTACTGATATTTTGTGCTATGTTACTAAAGGATGTAAAAGAAGTGTAGGCACGTTGGTTGTTTTTTTTTTTTTTAATCGCTTATGTTCTGTTGGGATCTTTGTTTGCAAAGATTACTATTGTGCTAGGCTCCTATTACGCTAAGTCACTATTGTGATAGATTTATTTCAAAACGTTAATTGATGAATTTTTTCATGAGAAAATTCAAATTTTGTACAATGTGGAATATCTAGCTATCCTTTCGATCCTTCGCACCTTTTAATAGATAGAATTTGTTCTTTTATAAGTGACTTTATTCCCTTATCTATTTATTGGTTATTCATTTATCTAACTTAGGTATTGTTTTCTTCATTAGGTCTTTCACGAACTCAAAGAAGTCGACAACTAGAAATGCAACTAATTGGTGGATGAGCTTCTTTGTTGGGGTTGGTATGTCAGACATGTTTAATTATGTACTTTGAACTTGTAGCAATTTGTACATCTTATGTGTTTAATATATTGTAATAGCAAATTGGAGAATACTTTGTTCCTATATGATTTCAACTTTGTTATATAAATTCATGTCTTCGCGATGTCGATCGACAATTTAATGATATGAAATTTGTCTTCCGTGATGTTTGCCAGCAAAATCAAATCCATTTTCTGTGACGTTTTCTAATCGTCACAAAATATAATTTTTATGAGGTTTTTAAAACGTCACAAATTTTATTTTTAATGACGTTTTTAAAACGTCACAAAATCGTTTTTATGACGTCTTTTTAGACGTCATGAAATCATTTTTTGTGACGTTTAAAAAACGTCATGGAAACCTGTCATGTGACATTTTCTAGCTATAAATTCTGTTTCGTGACGTTGTTTAACCGTCACAAATTCTAATTCCGTCACGATAACTCATTTACTGTGACATTTTTTAAACGTCACGAAAAGAAACATTTGTGACGGTCTAAAAGCGTCATCAAATCATTTTTCTTGACGTTTAAAAATCGTCACAAAAAAACGATATTTTGCATGACGTTTTTAAACCATCAGGAATGCTACTTTTCATGACGTTTTTAAAAACGTCATGAATACCTTTCATGATGGTGGCATAGGTGATGACGTTAAAAACTTCACGAAAGGATTTTGTGACGTTTAAAAAATGTCACGAGAACCCAAATTTCTACTAGTGAGCTCATCCAAATGCTCCGGGAGTAATGTAGAATCAAATGAGAAGGAAGAAAGTGAGTGATAAGACGAAAAATACACCCATATTTTATATATTTATTTTACATTTTATTAATTTATTATGTTTAAATATTTGAATTTAATTATAATTTATAATTTTGTGGCAGATTGAAGATATTCAAGAATAATAATTTAAAACCGCAATTTTAGAGGAGAATGTGGACTTCACCAAATTGGGAAGAGTTCAACGGATAAATACAGACACAATTATTATGGCGGGAAGCTTCAATTTGAGAATTATGAATTTTTAGGATATTTTGTAAATAAAGATATATAATCAAAGTAGGATTACATAATCCTCAATTGATTAGGAATTCTTTTATTTAATTTGTTTTCTTTTAAAAATGATATTTCCCAATTAGTTGGGAATTCTTTATTAGAGATAATTCCTCTTTAAAAGAGGATAAAGTTAATCTCTATAAATAGAGAAGCCTTATTATTGGGAGATCCATCATTCAAGTTCCAAGAAAGAGCTCTCTTCTCCGAAATTCAGTTATCTCCCTCTACCATGAGTGACTAGGCTTTAATTCTTCCAACTCAATGGTGATTCAAGTCCAATTGTAAGCTTGAGAGGCTCAAGTTAGATAGAGATTTCTTCTTTTTCAAGTATTCTTTGTTTCTTGTTCTTATTATTTATGAACAATTTATATTAATTAAATTGACGCCTTAATTCATGTTAATTGTTCTACTGCTATCCATGAGTTTGTGATCTATAATTGTCATGAATGATTGAAATGAGTAGCAAAGAGTTGGCTTATGTGTGTGTATTTATGGCTTTTCCATGTTTACATAGCTTGCATAATAGACTCTAGGGAAACAAAGGGACAAAATTAATTAACTTGCAACTATCTCAAATTAATTGATTTTGGTTTAGTCATTCTCATCATCCTTAATGCTATTCTTTGATTAATATGGAACGCTATCGTGCCCAGTTGATTAATTAATAAGATTTAATTTTGATGCTTGGTCTAAATTAATTAAATTAGGAGAATTAAAACTTACCACGACTGTTCCGAGTAAGTAGACTAAGTTCTTGAATCAAGAAATCAATTTTTTTATATAAAGCCGATGATCAAGATTACAATTGGATGAAAATCACACCTTTGGATTGGAAGCTCGGTAACATTAACTTTCATTTTCCTTTTAGTTTATCTTTTTAAATTTCAAAATTTAAATACAAACCCCCCATTTTTTTTAACTTTGAGAAATTAATTTCACTAGTTCCCTTGGGATTCGACCTGGTCTCACTACTTCTACAAGTTAGATTTAAGTAAAATCAGTAATTATTTTGGAGGGCCTCGACAACCCTTACTAGTGAGTCGAGGGCAGGGAGAAGTTTTGAGTCAGATAAATTATTAGTTGCTATATCTTTTTTTTATGCCATAGAACCTAGAAAAGCAGCGAACAGAAGTGCACAGACCATGGAAACATAGGACGATGCACCAATAAAGGAAAAAGCGAATCCAACAATTGCTAGGACAGTAAATGCTGGAGTATCTGATTTGCGGGCAACAGGAAAATAGAAACAACCAGAGCAGGAAAATGTCCGAGCAGAGTATAGACTGCACCTCCATACTCTAAGAAACTACAGAAAAAGAACCAAGATGCACAATTCATAAAGTTCTTGGATGTGCTGAAGCAATTGCACATTAATATTCCATTGGTGGAAGCGTTGGAACAAAGGACTAGCTACGTGAGTGTTTTGGATTTTGAATTCAAATAAATAGAAAGAGCACAAGTGTATACCCATCACAAGTAATAAGTGGAATGAGTATTCCGAGTATCGATCCTCAGGGACAATGTAGTCTTTTTGAGAAAAATATACTGATTTGAAAAGTTGTAATTGAATCAAGGTGAAATAATTCAAGGGAATGTTGATTTTGTTCATCTAAAACTCAATGTAATAAACCCATCCCTAGTTACTTCAAATTATCTTGAAAATGAATTTGATTGTGGGTCCAATGAAGATTCCTCCTTCTAGGGGTCTCTACATGAATTCTTCATCCCTGTTGATGTAGGTTGACTATTGGAGCTTTTGCTCCATTATGATGACATCAACTTGACTTTGTATATTCTGATGTATGTGGTCCTATGAAGACAAAAACACTTGGAAGTTTATCATATTTGTTTACCTTTATAGATGATCATTCAAGAAAAACATGAGATTATACCTTGAAGACTAAAGATATGGTGTTGCAAGTGTTTGAACAGTTTCATGCTTTTGTTAAAAGAGGAACTGACAAGAAGTTGAAGTGCACTATGATCGATAATGGAGGTGAGTATTGTGGACCTTTTGATGAGTATTGTTGAAGCCATGGTATTCGACATCAAAATACATCTCCTAAGAACTCCTCAATTAAATGGTCTAGCTGAGAGAATGAATAGAATACTAGTTGAGTGGATGAGATATTTGCTTCACAGTCACATTTACTGAGATCGTTTTAAGGTGAATCATTGAGTATAGTTGTGTATGTTTTGAATCTCACATGTCATGTGTTCCTTTGAGTTTGAAGTCTCGAACAAAATATGGTTAGATAAGAAAATATCATATAATCACTTGCATGTCTTTCAAGGTATAATCACCTGTCATGTGTTCCTTTCGTACATGTTCATAAAGACGAGAGATCGAAGCTTGACATAAAGACGAGACCATGTATGTCCTTTAGCTATGGCCAAGATGAGTTTGGTTATAAACTATATGATCCAGTACAAAAGACGCTCATTTGAAGTTGAGATGTTCGTATTTGTAGAAGACCAGACCATACAAGATATTAAAAAGATAGATAATACAAAGTTTCACCATAGTGACGATTTTATTGACTTGGATTCAGTTCCTTTTACACAACATTCTACACAGACTGAGAATAAGATTCAAAATGATCAATTTGATGATACATATGAGGTTGAGGATCTAGAACCGGTTGAGGTAGATGAATGTTCTTGAATAGTCGTTGGAAATAAAGATTCCTACAGATGTTTCACTCAGGATATCTATTAGAGATTGACATTCATCCACACGATATCCTATTGATGAGTATGTGTTACTAACTGATTCGAGAGAATATGAGAGTTATCAGGAGGCCATGGAAGATGAGCACAAAGGGAAAGTGGATTGATTCAATGAAGGATGAAATGAAGTCATTGCATAAAAATGACACTTATAAGCTTTCCAAGTTGCCTAAAGAGAAAACTGCACTAAAAAATAAGTGGGTTTATTGAGTGAAACAAGAAGAACATGCTTCACAACCGCGTTATAAAATGAGGCTGGTTGTCAAAGGGTTCAGGAGGTGTTGACTTTGATTAAATTTTTGCTTATGTTGTCAATATGTCTTCTATACATGTAGTTATAGGTCAGTAAGCCTTGACGTGAGGTTCAGTAGATGGATGTCAAAATTGCGTTTTTGCATGGTGACTTAAATAAATTCATATGGAACAACTAGATGGCTTTGAGGAGAAAGACAAGGATGGTCTTGTGTGCAAGTTGAAGAATAGTCTTTATAGGTTGAAATAGGCACCGAAGCAGTGGTACAAGAAGTTTGAGTCAGTTATGGGAGAGCAATACTACAAAAATACCACTTCTGATTGTTGTATATTTGTGTAGAAGTTTTCTAAAAAATGATTTATTATACTGTTGCTTTATGTTGATGACATTTTAATTGTTGATACGTTGAAGAAATAGTAGAGCAAATCTGTTGACATGAAGGATTTGAAGCCACTGAATAAGATTCATGGAATTCGTATAGTACGAGACAGAGCATCCAAAAAATTGTATATGTCTTAGGAGTATTACATAGAGAAGCTTCTTGAAAGATTCAACATGTCCAGAGCTAAAGTAGTGAGTTCTCCTCTATTTAGTCACTTCAAACTGAGTAGCAAATGGAGCCATTCTACACATAAAGAGAAGGAAGAGATGAGCAGAGTCTCATATGCTTTAGCAGTTGGAATTTGATGTACATCATGGTATGCACTAGACCAGATATTGCTCACTCTGTTGGTTTTGTTAGTCTTTTTATGTCCAATATAGGAAAATTTGCACTAGACCCATCGTACGCACTAGCAGTTTGAAGCTCGCTTATAGAATTCATTGATGTCCAAAATCAATTATAGAACTCATTAATTTGTTAGTCGTTCTATGTTCATATCAATAACATTGGGAGGTAGTCGAGTGGGTCATGAAATATTTGTGAGGTACTTCCAGTTTAAGCTCATTTTTGTAAGTGGAAAGCTAGTTCTTGGTCGGTTACATAATTTAGATATGACAGGAGATTTAAATAACCGGAAGTCTACTTTTGACTATTTGATGACATTTAAAGGTGGTGGAGTGTCATGGCAGTCAATATTACAGAAGTGTGTTGCACTTTGTCTACTGAAGTAGAGTATATTGTGGCAGCAGTGGCTTGCAAGGAGATTTTAATGAATGAAATGATTTACATAGGAGCTCCGCTTCAAGCAACAACAGTGTGTGATATTCTATGATAATTCGAGCACTATTCATCTTGGTAAGAAATCAACATTTCATTCTAGAGCCAACATATAGATGTGAGGTATCACTAGATGAGAGATGCTCTAAATGCAGACCATTTGAAACTTGAGAAGATACATACTGATTGTAATGGATCTGATATGCTGACAAAGAATCTATCAAAAGAAAAGTTTAGTTTTTTCGTTCCGGTGTTAGAATGACAATTTCTTTCACATAGTAAAAATAAGGAGATTTGTTGGATTTTTTCAGTATATGTGAAGGCGCATATAGACTTAGGTTAGTTTTTTGTTTAAAATTAAAGGTTTAGCCGCAGAGAAATAGAAGCACAGTGAGAGAGAGAAATTAGAAGAAAAATACAAAAGAAAGGGATTCTATACAAAAACGTTTTTAGCACATTTGGAGATCGATCTATGGTTCGATCGAACTAAAATTTTGATAGCGTGTTCACAACACGAGGATCTTCAATCTGGACTATGGAGATTTATTTTGGAGCTACCCATAGTTAGATACAGTTGGTAGTTGGATTCCACTTTAAGTGTGATCTTTCTAATTTATTCTCTTCTATTATTGTTGTGTTTGCCGACATTTATTGTCTCGAGATATCTATTATTGTATGCCTCTAGTTGTGACTAAGGATAACTCGTTGTAGCCTATTATTTATTATGGCGGAGATTTTGACTTCGATTTATGGTTTTTTACTCCTCGCCTTGATGAAGTTTTTCCATGTTAAAATTGCTTGTGTTCGTTGCTTGTTTGAATTATTTTTACTTGCTATTTCCTATTAGATTCACACAAGAGAGGATAATTGGTCCATAAAATTAAGTGTCTATCCCAACAATTCCAACATATGTGCTCTCAATGAGGCTTCATTGCAGCCTTTACCATTGTAAAAGAGGTTTTTCCCTTTTTGCAATAGATACCTCGAGAGAACCTCCTCCAATACCTTCTGCAATTTAGGGTATGGAGCCATCGTCGTCGAGTATAGCGTACGGAGAGTAAAAAGCTTATAGAGGGTCACCATTCCTTCTTCTTTCACTCCTCCGCATAGACCTCGCACAGTTCGTTCTTCCTAACCTGACTATAATCAATCTTATGATCGGGTTTGCAATTAATGTCATTTTGTCTTTGTGCTATGATTGCAAGGAGATAAAGTAGTACGTTGCTTTCAATTAAACAGGTTATAATTGTTACAAACTTTCTTCAATCTCTTTAAGTCATTTGAACAGGAGAGCGTATTAGGCAATGAATCAATCAAGTATGTATAAATATATTATAGCTTATAAGAGGAAACCTCATTTGGAGGGAGGGTGAACAATTGGAGTAGAGTCAGAATAACTCTCTAAAGAGAGTTATTCTAGTCTTTATTTGGGAAGTTTTGAGCAATTTAGTGTTAATGTATGTCTATTTTAGCTTGTGAAAATCTTAATAGATATAGAACATGATTTTTGAGCTAAAGATTATTGCAATGAATGCTTTGGCTTAAGTTAGTGCTAAATTTTTCCTATTATTGGCTCTTCACCTAGGGTTGAAAGCTGAGAACCGGAGCATGAGGTAAGCGTTGAGCCCAGAAAGCTGTTGTCAAAGCACAGTTGAGCCTGAGCAAGTAGAAGTTGGAGCAATTAAGTGCTTGAGCATAGATTCACAGTGTAATAATTATCCCACACGGGGATATTTTACCATGCCCGTACAATTACCACCTAGGTGCCCTAAAATTGGGACCCGATATAAAAGGGACAGAATGACCTAGCCGATATACGCAGATCCCAATAGAGAATATTTTATGTGTTGGAAAAGGCAAGGGAGAGGAATTTTCACCATTTTCGGAAGGAGAACTGGCGACAGAGAGAGCTGTTGCTGTCATTTTCGTGTTGGTGTCTCCTTTTGCGTTTTCTTTACCTTTTTTTTTCTGAAATGGGTTGTATCTTTCCGTTACCCATGGTATTTTTCTTTTTCTCCATGAGCTAAACCCCAGTTTGGGGAAGATTTACATGCTGTAGCCACTGAACAACCAAAACTCTAGTCGTTATTAATTGCTATTTAATAGCGCTATGCATATTTTCTTAATCTTGCTGAATATGGTTGGCCACCTTGTTTAGTTTGCTCGCTTCTGTATGATTCGAAAGGATATATAGTTAGTCGACTTGTTCTGTTTGTGATTAGCCACTTAGTGGGTTCGAGGATACTTAGGGATGAGGTCCCCTAATCATACTTAGAACTTGTTTTTAATGCTTGGATATCTAGCAATAGGAATTGTGGGTATTCTTGCTTGGGTGTCTCGGAAAGGAACCACGTCGAGTTGAGCAATAGTGAGTGATTTCAGGCTAGAGTCGAGGTTGAGATGTAGTGAAAGCATAATAAATCTTCCCCGTTGTTTCCATATCTGTTAACCCCTTTTTCCACTATGTTGTGCTAGAGCTTTTTCTTATCCGCAACATTTGTAAATTTGTTTGCTACTGGAGTCATTTACTGCTTTTGTTTATGCTTTTCTCAATTACTGTTTTTACACCAACATTCTTATTTTATTATTTTCTTGCACCATTGGTATTCTTAAGCAAAACATAAAATATTACTCTACGTCCCTATAGATTCGACCTTGTTTGTACTACAATCAACAAATATAGTGTATACTTGCACTTGTATCTATTACAGTTGTGAGGACGCAACAAGCCACTTGGACGCATGTACGCTCAAGCCCTCTTCTTCCAATTTCGTAAATTTTGTAAATTAGCGGCATATGTTGATGCGCGAATTTGGTTGAGAAGATTTGACAAAATATTGCACCAAAGGGATCAACATTGACCTGTAAAGCTAACATAATAAAACACCAATGTGGTACTAGCTAATAACTCTCCATAAGAGAATGTTTTGTGGCTTTATTAGGGTAATATTTGTGCAAAAATGTTAGGATTCTTATTAAAGCACCATGAAAAAGAGTATAAATCATTTATCTAGGCCCTGAGCTGTTATAATTATCTATTTCCTCATTTTGAATGAATTATGCGTAATTCTTGATTTTTTTGAATAGGAAATGTAGAATTTGGAAAGGACAAGTTGAGTGCTGCTCAAGAATCAAACCCAAACATTTGACATTCTTGATTTTTTTGATGGTGAGTACTTAGGATGAGACTCACCCTATTGCACCTATGAACTTCTTTTATTGTTTGCTTTTATTACAATGAGAGTTGGGTTTGATGTTTGGGTATCTCGGGAGAGAACCGTGACAGTTTGGACATTCAGTATTTCTAGTTTGCTTGAGCATAGTTAGCAAGGGGTGAAAGAATTTAAGCAAATGTCCCTCGATTTACATTTAAATCGTTTCTTCATCGTAACTGTTATTCTCTATGTTGGATGCTCTAGTATCGTACTAAAATATTTATGTGCTGTTTTCCTTTCCTGCTTACAATTTATTTCTATCGTATTCAAACTACGTAATCAAACTCTTTTTATTTTGCTTTTCGGTATTCTGAATTTGTTAATTCAAAGTATAACACCAATCCCTGTGGAAATGACCTTGTTTACACTACAATCGGCGAGAATAGTGTATACTTGCACTAATTCTCTCTTAGTTGTAAGAAAGCGAACACTAACCACACACACTCTGATGCTTAAGTTAGAATTGGAGGTAATATGTGCTTAGCTTAAAGTAAAGTTTTCTTTTTAGCTTACCTTTAGGGAGAAGCCTTCTCTTCTATTTATAGAGATCTGATCCCGTCCCTTTAAAGTATCAGGATATATGCTCCTATTCTTCTCAGGATATCTTCTTATTTTGAGTAGTTGGTGATCTTTAGAGATAATTACCAAGTTGATGGACTTTTCGGACGTTCGTGGGTTTCCATCGTGAGTTGGATGACATAGAAGAAGCAAGCTAGTCCATTATTGGGCTAGTCAGCAGGTCAACCTTGGCCTTGTGTCATGGGGCCGAGGTCAATGCCAATGTGCTTGGATCGGGTTGCATCGAGACTAGCACCATGGCGTTATGGCCTTAGTTGGAACATTGACTACTCAACCTCAACTGGTTTTCCAGGTGCTGAGGTATTAGGAACAACGCCTTATGTTCTCTCCGTTGTTCGGTTTTGCCATTCTCTAGATTTTAACCATTTTCAAATGTTCTCGTTGTTTGTAGACCTACTCACCTTAAATTGGGCTTAGTTATTCATGTAGCTGTTTGTAGAAATAAATTCTTTTTTTTGTCCCATATCAGTAGCCCCACCCTCTAAGAATTTTATTAAAAATCGATATCATTCTTTGAGATTATTTGTTGACTTTTTTCCCTTGGATTACAGGAGGAAGATGTTTTGGGTAGACAAATGGTTTATGGGAAGAAAGCCCAAATTTTAAGCGGCCTAATAGAGGGGTAGGGGGCTGCTTGGTCAATTTTGACCGTCAAAATTTGGCTGACCAATCAAAGTTGTCTAGCCAACTACATGGTCTTATCGGTCTTGTTTTTTTTTGTTCGAGGTAAGAAGAAAATCTCTTTTTGTTTTTGGTTTCGATAGCTTGAATGTGGAATGGACCACCACAGATGATAGGTTGTTTTCAGTCCATCCTCCAATTTTGAAGTAGCAAGACCCTTGTGGCTTGATTCTTCTATTGTAATTGAAAATCACTTGTCGATTCTTCATGAAAAATATTGTATTCCTGACTCCATTAGCCTCAGGATCTCTCAGGGAGAAATAATTTTTTATCCGACAATGTTTAAATTTTGCATTCCTTCCCTAATTTCATTTTTTTTTAATTTCTGGGCTTTCATCCAACTTGGTCCTGCTGAGGTGGAGTACTTTAATTAGTTGTTAAAAGATGAGTTGTCATTCAATATTCTAATTAATTACAAAAATAAAAAAATAAAAAATCAGTATTTTTGTATTAATCAGCTATTTTCTTAAAATGCTCTAAACAGCCATGAATTCAGCTTAATAAAAAAAATGTGCTGCATCAAATATAGGGTAGATTGGTGTTTTTAATTAAGCTAAGCTTAATTTCTAAGAGATAATTAAAATAAAATAATGATCAAAATGGTTTTCAAAGAAGAAAATTTGCCAATCTTTATTGAATCCAAATAATCAGATTAACCATTAACGAATAAAATAAATAACGAAAAAAAACAAAAAACAAATAACAAATAACTAAATTAAGCTAGCAAAAGAGAAGAAGATTACCATAACATACAAAAAGAAAGAAAAAAAAGTGTCTATATGGTAGAAGTTGAACGGAGGGTAAAAATATGAATTTGAAGTAAATTAATTGGATGGAGGGAAGAAAGTGGCACCGGAAGTCCTTTTAGAGGAGAAACACTCCTCCAAATCAGCTGCATTGGACGCGGCTTGAACGACCTCTAGGGAAACAAGGAGGCCAAAGCCATTCTTCTCGAGGCGCCGATGGGTTCGGGCAGCATCGGATGCTTCATTGGAGACCAAGAATAATAGGTTCTCCATCACCGTTGTGCGCTTTCTTCGCAAATTTGGAACTCAAATCTATCTTCCTTAGAGCTTATGACAAGAAAATAACAAATCTCTTTTTGTTCGATATTATTCTATTATGAATTAAGTTTACTCAATCTATCAACTTTTTTTTTTTTTTTTGAAATGTAGTTAATTTATTGTTAGATGGTATCAGAGTGGGAGAGTGGGACATATTCTAGCCTTGAACGATGAAATTCAAACTCTCCACGATATGGAGAAATAATTGGATGGAGAAATAATTGAAGAGAATTTGGATAAACCTCGTGAATAGGAATTTTGTTGCAGCAAGTTGAAGGGAAAGTTTTAATTTATTTTCCTTTGCAAAAAAGGAAGGGGAAATTTTTTAATTTATTCCTTTGCAAAACTTTTTGATTTATTTATAATAATTCCTTTGCAAAAAAGGAAGGGGAAAATTTTTAATTTATTCCTTTGCAAAATTTTTTAATTTATTTTACTTAATCTTAACTTTTTATTTTAATAATTTACTTCTCATTAACGAGAATAATGAAAAAAAAAACATTAATAGAATTTTGTATTATCATAAGAACAAGTATTTATATAAAATATAATTAAAATTTATTGTGTTGATATTAACTAATAATAAATTATATTTTAACAATTCAATTAATATTTATTAATGATAATTAAGTCAAATTAAATAGAGTGAGCCTTTTACGTTAAAATCAAATCTATAGTATATATAAAATGGGCTATGGGGAGAAACTTTTTTGGGAAATTGGGATTTTTGACCCCCTTTTGTTTTTTATCCCTTCACCTCAGATTTCTGACCCCTCCCCTTATTTTATCATGTAAATTGACTAAATTGCCCTCATTTCATAATAAATGCATTTATGATATGATATAATAAATTTCCAACCAACCCACCAACCACCAACTTAACAATTCTCACTTTGTTTTTTCTACTCCAAATCACCACACACACGCAAGTCACGTTTTTTTTTTCCAATAGTCAAAATTTTCTCCACGTGATTGTTGGCCCACATTATCCAATCGATCGGTCCCCACATAATCCGTTATCTCGAATCCATTGTTTTCACAATATAGGTATGTCCATTTCATCATTTTAGAATATTGTACTTCTTCAAACTTGTAATGATACGAAATTTTATCATTTTTCTAGAAAAAAACGTTATTTTACGGAAAACAGAAATGAAGTCTAGAATTTATCTTGGACCGGGATTGGTACCGGGATGAAATTTAAAACCGGGTTTGAGACCGAGATAGAAGGTAAATTCAAGCCCGGTCCTTCATGTCCAGATACGACCGGGATCGGGATCGAGATGGGGATAAACTAGGGTAGACCGGGATAGGGATTGGGACCGGGATAGGGACTGGGACCGGGACCGGGATAGAGACTGGGACCGAGACCGGGATAGGGACC